GTTTTTTTTATCCCGCATTTTTATCTATCGACGCCCACCACAATACTCTGAACCACGCGTTACATCGCGTTTAAAAATAGAAAAATATACTCCAAAAACGAGACATCAATTAATATGATACCACAGATTTTATCAATTAAAAGTAATACAATCAGCTTATAACAATTGGATAAACAAAAGACGTAAGAACACTTATTGAGATTGGTTTGTTTTCACACCAACTTCTGCATCTAACGAAGCGGTATCGACGCCATCTTGCTTTGTCAAAATTGAGATAGGTGGCGCTCGCTATCTGCTCCGGAATCAGGGGGAGGTAAGTCTAGATTGACGTGTCATAAAATTGGTAAGGCAGAGAGGGAGTTGCTAATCCCCTTCACTATACGTCCCTGGTTTAACATAGGTATTTCTAGTTTATCATATTCATGAAGTATGGCAGAATTGCTGTATACTAGGAAAATTTTGCCCTGTCAAATTATCGCCCTCGGCTGGTAATATCCATTAAAACATCAAAAGAGATTGGAAAAATAAATATAAAACTCGAGACATTGTGTCATAATAACAGAGTTAAATGACATTAGATTTTTGACAATTTAGTTTTAATTTTTAATGGATTTGCTGCGGATCAAAGGAAGAATTTATTTCCTTTTTTTGTATAAATTTTCTTTCAAACTGGTAACTTTTTTTCTGCAATCCATCTTTTTAGCCCACCATCATCTGATGGTGGGCTATTCAAATCACCCTGCGTCCGTGGTCCGTCCGTGGTCCGTGGTCCGTCGTCCGTCCGTAAACAATTCTTTGTTATCGCTATTTCTCAAGAGGTACCAGAGGGATCTTTCTCAAATTTTGTATGTAGGTTCCCCTTGGTCCTGAGCTGTGCAGGGCAACTTTTGAGACTGATCGGATAAACAACATGGCCGACAGGCAGCCATCTTGGATTTTGATATTGAAAGTTTGTTATCGCTATTTCTCTGGAAGTATCAGAGGGATCTTTCCCAAATTTTATATGTAGGTTCCCCTTGGTCCTTAGCTGTGCAGGGCAACTTTTGAGACTGATCGGATAAACAACATGGCCGACAGGCAGCCATCTTGGATTTTGATAGTGAAAGTTTGTTATCGCTATTTCTCAAGAAGTACCAGAGGGATCTTTCTCAAATTTTATATGTAGGTTCCCCTTGGTCCTTAGCTGTGCAGGGCAACTTTTGAGACTGATCGGATAAACAACATGGCCGACAGGCAGCCATCTTGGATTTTGATAGTGAAAGTTTGTTATCGCTATTTCTCAAGAAGTACCAGAGGGATCTTTCTCAAATTTTATATGTAGGTTCCCCTTGGTCCTTAGCTGTGCAGGGCAACTTTTGAGACTGATCGGATAAACAACATGGCCGACAGGCAGCCATCTTGGATTTTGATAGTGAAAGTTTGTTATCGCTATTTCTCAAGAAGTACCAGAGGGATCTTTCTCAAATTTTATATGTAGGTTCCCCTTGGTCCTTAGCTGTGCAGGGCAACTTTTGAGACTGATCGGATAAACAACATGGCCGACAGGCAGCCATCTTGGATTTTGATAGTGAAAGTTTGTTATCGCTATTTCTCAAGAAGTACCAGAGGGATCTTTCTCAAATTTTATATGTAGGTTCCCCTTGGTCCTTAGCTGTGCAGGGCAATTTTTGAGACTGATCGGATAAACAACATGGCCGACAGGCAGCCATCTTGGATTTTGATAGTGTAGGTTTGTTACCGCTATTTCTCCGGAAGAACTAGAGGGATCTTTCTTAAATTTTATATGTAGGTTCCCCTTGGTCCTAGCTGTGCAGGGCAATTTTAGAGACTGATCGGATAAACAACATGGCCGACAGGCAGCCATCTTGGATTTTGATAGTGAAAGTTTGTTATCGCTATTTCTCGGGAAGTACGGGAGGGATCTTTCTCAAATTTTATATGTAGGTTCCCCTTGATCCCTCGTTGTGTATGTTATATTTTGAGACTGATCATAAAAACAAAATGGATTAAAAGAAGAACTAAACAGATCTTTCTCATTAAGTACTGTACTAGTAAATATGTGAAATGACAAACTCACTTTGAAGGTTGGCTTTCATACACATCAGTATTAAGTTTAGATCAAAAGTTACCTCAAGGTGCATTTACTGTTAACATGACTCGATCAAACAGATTAGAGGAAAGAAGAGAAAAGATCGATCTGACAAAGAACTAATGAAGATGGTTCAAAGGTGGGCGCCAAGATCCCTCTGGGATCTCTTGTTATATATATTTTTTTTTTTCATATATCCTATTTCTAGTAACCTCATATGTACAGTATATGTCGATATATACCCTACCAGCCCACCATTCTACTTGTGTAATATTGTTACTAGTACAATTACATGTAACATATGTATTAGCTCCTAACATCACGTATAGATCTATTATTTAAGCTAGAGATTACTGAATACTCGGAGACCTTAGAAGAAAGATTTTAAACATCATTTGTTGAATTGTAGATGTAGTAGTCGAAGAAAACAATTCTCCCAATGATGCTGTTAGGTCAAGCGTAGGTAACACTTTGCCACATGTCATCGCATGACTGCATCCGACCTTGTCAAACACTTGTAGGTCATCACTGTCGAATGCCTCGCTCTGCACAGCATGACACTGGTACCCTCTCTGGTCATGATGTTTCCCTAGCTTGTTGAACATCTTGTCTTTTTTTTCGATTTCATCTTGAATTTGTTCAATTCCAGTCTTAACAAATGGAATCTCATTTGATTGTCTGTTAATTAATTTGAGTGACTAATTAAGCTTAAGAAATTTCTGATATGCTGATAACTGCCTACACCGATTGTGATGTTGGTTTACAAATAATTTACCCGTCTTAGGGTACACAAATACAGATTTCCTTGCTTATCCTCAATTTCATAAAAATAACAAACTTACCCATTTCCCAGCCTACACTAATGTAGCCTGTGACCACATTGATTCAAAGTTTTTATTTACTTAATAAAATACCCTCACTGTCTACACAAGCACAGTCTACGATGTTAATTGGCGTATTGCACTTTACCTTCCCAGCATATACGAGCGTTGATTACTACACTGCAAATATAATAAATGCATTGGTAAAATATGATATTTTATCTTTTCTCAGGATGCTAAATCCATGTATTGACCTCCTGAAATGTCAATAGTTGTATAACAGTGGTTCTACTGCCAATCATCATGACCAATGACATATCATTCAGTTAAATGCTACGTGCAGATCACTTTGATAAATTCCTCGCTCCGTGCAATTCATCTACAAAGAAAAAATATTATTAGTGAAGGATTTTATAAAAATTAAAATTTTATTTAAATATGATTTTTTTTTTATACAAATAGCATTTTAGAGTTGTCTCCCCTTATCTAAATCTTTTGTTATGTATGACATCGTAATCCTCACACACCAGACAGCTCTAACATATAAACATAAGCTAGTTATACTGACTGGTACTACTGTTAAAGGCTAGCATGACAAACCAAAAGCCTTCTGTAATCTAATTAGCTACGTTTCTATATATATAGAAATAAGGAAAGGGAGATAATCGACAGCATGTCAGATTAAAATTTAGGAATATATTTTACCTGAGAAGTATTTCTGAAAGATCAAATTTTAAAATATGATTACTTTCTTTGTATTTTTAATTAATATATTTTTTAAATATGAAAACTTTCTTTATAAAAATAGCATTTGTCTTCTTTAGCTTGAAGTATGTGTCTAGTAGAAAAGGATATCTTGTCTGTGACCAAAATTATCAAATTCTGATAATCAGGAATCCTCTTCCAAAAACAAACAAAATAGAGCAGAAAATTATTTTAGATTTTTTGTATGTTTGCTTCAAGCTTGAATTTTTATTTTGTTTTGATATCCTTACTCATTACTGATTATTTCTCTTTAATGTTTTATAATAGGAAAACGAAAGTGACAACGGTCCAAGAAATGGGGCCCCTCAGCCCGGTGTGTCCAGTAAAGGCCTGTCGTGGATGAAACCAGGAAGTGTACAGATATTTGCACGTGATGATCCGGCACTGGCGTAACAAGACTATTCGTCACTGAGATACTGGGACAATTCTTCGTCGTCAAGGCAGAGAAATTCTGTACTCACTGACAGAGCCTTCAATGTTGGAAATATTGATAGTTAGTACTGAGATATCAGGCGACTGAGATACAGCACCTGTGTGGATGCTGGCAAATTGTGATTTTTCCTGGTTGATGAAACTGAAGAAAAATTGTGACTTGTATGAATTTAAAGGCTGTGATGGAGTAAAATTTTGCATGTTTTCTTAATCACTATATCTTGCCCATGTGACAGTGATTTTTGACTCAACACATGCGTATCTGATCATTTATAATACTCAGCTTTGTTGGAGACGTTATGTTGTTACACTGTGTTTTCATTGGTCTGCTTCGAGGCCATGACTTGTATATTACACAGGAGACACTGCGGACTGAGGCTATAAAACAGGAAAAACAAAACCTGGGGACCTGGTATAGTGTATAGAGTGGAAAGCCTATAGAGCAAACTTAAGTGGATATTTCTTTTCTGACGAATTTCTCTCAAGTTTACTCTTCTTTTTTTTTGCGGGGTTCTAATTTTTTTTTTAGCAATTTTTGCAGTAACAATATTTCCACATTTTTTTTAGCAGATTATATCCATCCTTATTGTACCATTTTGTGTCATGGGTACTACAACTGAAATCCGTGTAAAAGAAAGTCAGCGAAATTTAGCAAATTTAGGAAATCTGCAAAAATTTGGGACTGCAAAAAAACCCACTTAAAATTACAGTATTTGATACAAAATTTTGCTGTGGTTTTCTGGTAACTTGGAATCTATAAGATCATAGATTGGTTTGCCTGTAATAATATTTGTGTTTTCACTACATCCATTAAAACTGCAAAAATAAAATTCATAGCATATACATAAGTTCCATACTTTACAACATATATGATGAGAAAAAGATTAAGGAAGGGGTAATATACAACAAGGTTTATACATAATTTTTAATTGTATTCATTGGCACTGGATTTGGATTTTGAGTTGGTTTGGTCCTACTAGTAATTGGATGGATTCTGATGACGTTTATACGCGGAGTAATGTACCTAGCTCTCGCGATCGCTACATCATGTGATTTGATTATCTTTATATCCACCAGGTTTCTGTTTCTGACTAGCAATGCTGGAGAACCTTTGATTTTCCGATTTACTCAAATTTGAAAATCATTATTTAATATTAAAAGGAATATAGATATTTTTCATAACATTAATTAGGTTTAGTGCTATCAATATTTGTCTGGGCAGAGTTCATTCGAAAAATTTCTCGTGTAATATTTTTTCTGAGTATCCGTCAGAAAAATCCTTTCATAAATGGTAGAAGTTCTTTGGTTTAGAATGGACTCGGCCCGAGGGTTCTTGATGCAGTCATACGCCATTTTGTATTATTTCAAATGCCCAACATACAATATACAGTAATGCAATTAGTTTGGGCTATGTACCCGTATATATGTGGATCAACTCATTCACCCCTGAAATTTAATATTGGACTATTCCAACCTTTTAATTGGAAGAGTTCAAATGTGTCTTCAGGGGTGAATGAGTTAAGGTTTGTTTGTATGATGAACTTCAGTACTTAATATACGTTATCTCCGGACTACTGGTGACGGTGTGGTATACAGAGTTATTTATAGATTTATCAAGAAATATCTGTCTTATTTTATCGCCAATTATATGACAACTTGTGTTGTGAATTGCCTTTGAGTTTGTGGCCGTTCGTTCTTGTGCGTGTGTTGTAAATGCGATTTGTATGTATGATGATTTTTTTTACTGATATTTATTACTGATAATGAAACCACATTTTCTGGAAAGTAAACCATGATAAATGCTACGTCATACCATAAATCTGAAAAATAATTTTTAAACTTGCATTTTAATAGTTACTCTGACAAAATAAAATACATATAAAGAAAAAAAAGTAGAGGATTTTGGTTCTTTTCAGAAATAACTCAATCATATTTCTAGGTTCCTGCTAAGTTTTGAAGATAAGCCAAGATAAATAATACATTTTAATCTAAAATGTTATTCTCAAAATTGTACACACTATGATAAAAATACCTCCCAGAAAATTTTAGAAGATGAGAAATATCTGGGGTCGCGTTAATTTCTTCATCAAAGGCAGTAGCTGTTTTTTATTTTATAAGAGTTATTACAAATATCCATATAATGTAATTCTGAAATTTATTCTATTACACAAATGACAGAGGGATTTTTTCTTTTTTTTTCACTCTATTTTTCTTTTTCACCCTATTAAAAAAAATCTCTTCAAAAGAGCTCTTTTCCGTCTTTGCGTATTGCAGAGTTATCTTCTCATGTGAGCAGGTATTGATTGTTACGTCACTGGTTTGTGTGAGAAAATTACGTCGTTTTCTCAAAAATTGATGAAGTTACTTTCACCAACAAATGACGTAACAATCAATACCTGCTCACAAGTGCAGATAACTCTGCAATACGAAAAGACGGAATATACAAATCCTGTCCTTTGCGAGCAATGGAGTAACCATTAAACAATTTTAGGGATAAAGCGGTAGGTTTTTCCACATAAGTTTAAAAGATCAAATAAGTGCTCTATTTAACACTACTGCAAATTGTTTTAATGTTGTTGTTTTTTCCCCTTTTTTCCGGCCCACTTTTGTGTGTTTATTGCAATTATGATGCTGTTAACTTGTTTAATCCACACCCAAATATCAGTTGTGTATTTCTAGCATTGAGCAGCTATATTGAATTTCTTTTATTTAAAACAAAAGTATTTCAAATTTTGCTTTTGATTATTTTTAAACAACAATGGCTCTCACAATAGCCATGATTGGAACTGCTGTTCTTTAAGAATATCAATATTGCAGTAAACATGTATCCGGTACAACCAGATTGTCTGTTTTTGAATGTAACATTTTCGCGTATACATCCGAATCCTGGCTGACCTACAAATATGTATGCATGTCTTGCTAGGCTTTGTTGAAGCAGCATCAGATTACTAGGTCTGACCATTTGGATCGGGATAAACGAATACGAACTTCTAGCGTTCTTTAAATCAGTATCTTTAACAACATTCCAGAAAAGAAAGTTAACTTTCTGTTAGTGAAGCAAATAATACCTAAATCATTCTGCACCAAATCTACATTATGAAATGGTGTAACAGTAATGATTTGAAAGGGTTATACCAAACACATGCCTTTTGAATGACCTGTAGTTTAAAATATAAACTTCATTTAATTTACAACAATTATGAAACAAGTTATTTCAACTTATTTTAATCATTCTTGTTGGGCCGGATGTTAGCGCGCTGAGGGTCTAAATGTGGGAGGACACCAGAGTACCCGGAGAAAACCCCATACCTTTTCACATCTTATCGGGGAATCGAACCCTGGCCCCCTTGGTGAAAGGCAAGTGCACTATCCACTTCACCACCCCACCATCTGTAGTGTGAATCATGGCTATTATCATTGATATATTTTCCGCTATACATATCGTAATTAGCTGTTGTCTGACGTACCTATTTTGTCGTGTTCTGTTAGAGTGTAGCTATTTGTGATATATTCTCTAACCATACAGTTTTGTGTGTATTTGGCATCAGAAGATTGATTAATTCTTACACTTGCGACTTTATTTGGAATACAATGTTCTTAATCTGGTATCGGTTACGACACGTGACATCCTGTGAATGTGTCTGATTTACATTGGCATTTTTTTCCTGTTTGAATGATTTCAAGTTTTAAAAACCTGAGAAACCTTTTAATATATGCAGTACAGTCATCTTTACATATGTTTTGTGACAGAAACATTGGGAATCACACCATTAAACATTTTCTATTATAATGATGAAATGCAATATTACAATGCCTGTTCAAAGGTTTCAGGTTGATAAATATATTTATTAATCCAGAGTCAAGTGTATGCCTAACCAGAATATTTCTATAATTGTCTGAAGATTTGTTAGGAGTTGCAATACCGTAGATCCCACTTATTGGTCATGTTGTTTGTTTAATATCACATTTCTCTTAATTTCACTTTTTAACATGACATTAAGAGAAATATGTTGTAGTTTCGACTTATTGTCTTGTTGTTTAATATCACATTTCTCTTAATTGCACTTTTTAACATGACATTAAGAGAAATGTGTTGAACTTTCGAGGATGACAGTTATTTCACAAAATATAAACCAATTAGCTACATACATGTAAAGATGACTTTCTACCTTTGCAAGACAACTTGATTGACATTAAAAATTTAGAAATTAATTTAAAATCTTTAATATAATAAAGGTGTCTTTGATGCAATTTTTGGTGTGCTAAAAACCTTACTTGTCTTTTTGATGTTGTTTTTATTTAAATGTGTTCAGTTTCGTTGAGAATCATTTTTTGATATGTCTATGGTTAAAATGTGGCAGGATTCTGTTAAACAGGGCCAATAGTAATGGCAAAGGGTTAGGAATATTGCCAGAATCTCTGCAATTTTTATAAACAAACGTTTCTGATTGTGACAGAAAGAGAGAATGAGAAACATTTAACCCTGGAATCTGGGAATAATTTGGAAAAATCATTTCTACCTGCTTATAATGTGAATTTTTCAAGAGAGGTACAGCCTTAATTTTCATTTTGTTAAGATACAAAGAATATTGCTGATGAAATGCAAATGAAATTGTTATATTCAATTTATTAGTTGTAGTTTTCAATGTTTACCTAACGATCCAACCTTGAATGTAGTTCAAAATGAGGAGAAATTTGACTCACAAAAAATTGATTCTTAAATGAAATATCAGAAGTGTTATATAAGAAAAACAATCCCGACTTCGCTGTAAGTTCGTCACATCAAACAATTTGAATCTTCGAAGTTAGATTTATTGAAGCTTTACTGTATTGACGCTGCTGTTGTTTTAGCTTACAGAGGTTTGAATGGGTTGTTTGTGAGAGGCGGAGACTTAATTATAAAGTATATCGACCGTGTCAAAGGTAATGGTGTTCCTGAACAATATGTGAATTGTACAGCAGAATATTATAATCACACAAGGATACAAGTGCCCGGAACGGAACGTATTTTGAATCTGATTAAATAATTTTCCCAAGTTCAGCAAACTGTTGTGTTATTTGTCGATAGAAGACTTGTTTTGATCCATTGAGGAAAAATATATTAATTTTCCTCAAATCAGTTTTTGAAGGCAACATTTTTGCAGTGTCTCTATGATTATTGAAATCTGATATAGACAATTTAAACTTTCTTTGTTAACAGTTACCTATTTAATAATACTTTTCACATAAACTCAGATAACATCACATTNATGCGCAGATTACATGGGTTTTTACAGTAAATGGGATTTGAAATTTGACATGTTATGATCCAAGGTATTATATATATATGATACATAAAACTCATTGAAAAAAAAATCTATACCATTTTAATTTTATGTTTGTTTTGTTTTCAAATTAAAACATATTTTATCCAGATGGAATTGAAACAAAATTGTAATAAACCAAATCATGAACCATAAAAAAGAATGAGAAAAAAAAAATCACAGAAAAAAGGGGCGACGTTTTAATTTTGTGTTGTGGCATAGTTCTCAATAAACAAGCTTTACTCCGTTCTATTAATTAGAAATTAACCAGTTCCCTGCTAAGTTTTGAATTGTTCAAAATAACCGGGTTGTGCACACCTCCCCTTCTGGTTCAACAGTAGTTTACACCCATTCGGATTGACATCTGTTCGGCCCCTATCAACACCAATGAGTCCTTGAAGGATGAAACAGCAGTCCGATGCAGTGTCCTTCATTTTTGGCATGCTATATCTAAACCAAATTTTAAAAGTACAATCCCTTTGTGCGTGTCTTCGGTTAATCTTTGTAGAAGGGAGACAACTCCGACATGCTTGTGCTAGGATGAATTTTTGAGCAAAACGGAACGAATAAAAACAAGTATATGACATCTGTACATGTTTCCTCATCGTGATAATAAAAGGAGTATTTTGTAAAATAGATGGTACTGTGAGGAAGAGTTTTTGGGATACACGAAAAATAAATAAATCTGAGATATTTTTGTTTGTTTTTTGTTCAAAGTTCTACTAGCTAGGATCATTTAAAGACACGTCTCTATGTGGTCATGTTTTGATGTATTTGCCTCTTTGAAATACCACGCCGTAGTCACCTAGCATAGCATTCCGCCCGATAACATTTTGTACCATATGTGACAACGGGTGAACTAGTTGTCGCCGTTACCCTGAATGCTGAAAGTTAAAAGGGGTTACCAGCAAGGTGAACAGAACCCATTGCCCCCCACCCCACCCCATTGGAAATATTACCAAGGAAAGGAAGGCGCTGGGAAATTAAGTGTTGTTAGAAAATGAAAATGGAGAGAAAAAATCCAAGATCCAAGATCCAACTTTGCGATGGGGCAGCAGATCAATTTTGGTTTTCTTAATATCCCCTTAGCAGAAGTCGGAGGAAGAAAACTCGCGATTCAGCAGGGTCTAGACCGACATTACACGATTCGTACTATATGCAATGGGCTACAGCAGGCCTATTCTCCCCGAACCTGCTGAAATTCTTACTGAAAGACACCCGCATGCGTAGCAATAGAAGTATACACTCTCTGTAGATCAAATTAAATCTTTCATGGTCATAAATCTGTTTAAGAATACTGTCTTTTATTTTATTCTTTTTACGAACTGAAATTAAATGTCTGGGTTTTTGGGGGTTTTCCAAATCGTACA